GGAGGGGGCCGGGCCGTCCCGGCGTCCGCCCTGCTTCGCTCCGTCTTTCCGTGGGTCCGACTCCTGGCGTGGGGCTGGCGCCACGAAGCCTCCGGGCTGGGGGGTGGAAGGGCGTGTAAGGGGGAGCAGCCTTGAAGGGACTTGAACTAAAACAACAACTGGCTGCAATGACGACTGAGTCGCAGTCGTCGTCTCCTCGGAAATATTGCTCCCTGGCTGCTGGAAAATGGAGAAAACCAACGGTGGGAGAGCAGTGCACAGAGGGTGTTGCTGGTGCCCCTGGCAAGGGCTGAGCAGCCCCAGCGATGGGACTTTTGCCCCCCTTGGTCTTTTTCTTGTGGTTTCTGTTGTTTCATGCATCACAAGAAACTATGATTATTCTCAAATAAGGAGGTGGAAATTTTTGCCTTTAAAAAGTCAAGTTGTCAGCACTGGGTCTGACAGCAACGAGATCTTCCCTTGCTTATTTATGTGGCTATCTGTTACCAAAGGGCCAAACCAAAGTCCTCTTCCTCTATTTTTTTAGCTATTTCATTTGTTTTTATATGCAAAAAAATCATGTAGCTCCTGACTACTGTTGCGGGATGCTGCTGAGGCCTCTTCTTTTCATTGATGTTCTCCAGAGACTTCTAGGCTAGGGGCCTGGAAAACCTGCTGGTAGGTCCAGTCATCCATCCCCTGAAGAGCCCTTCTGGGACATGCAAATGAGTTGGCAAGGAGGTCAGAGAGTAGGGATCACTTTAAGTGTTTTACTAAGGAAGCAAAAATAGGGACAGTCAAATAATTTTTTTTCTCACACTTTATCTGGAAAGGCAATGAAACAATGATAAAGTCAGTTACTTCTGCAGTCCTACTTGAATGTCTAGGGGCTTCTGGCAAGTAGGTATGCAATAAATCTGTAGAATAGTGGGATTTGGCAAGTTCAGATAAAACACTGTAAATAGGTGTCACACAAAAAACTAAAAAAATAAAACAAATGAGATTCTGAGGTTTTTGCATGCTTTTCTCTAGTGCTGTCATATTGGTTTCTGCTTAGCTGCTGTTTGAAAACCTGATTTGAACAAAGTGAGTAAAATGAAAACAATTCCCCTTATTCCTTGTGTCTACTACAATATCCTGATAATGCAGGAGTAAGAGTGTCTTTGCTTTCAGCCTTTCCTTACTTCTGCAATTGCTGTTATGTCAGTGATGTTATGGTTGTTAATTCAGAGGAGATTTCTACTCTATCAAATCTTTTTAATTAAAATTCTTTTATATCTGTTGCTATTCATAGCTTTTTCCACACAGAAGTATAAAACTGACTTACTGTTTCACTGCTGTTCGTACATTTCTTTCCTACTCTTTGGAACATGAGTGTGACTAATGTCTGCCTGCAGTCTTGCTGTGCCTTGTATCTTTGCCAAGCCACAAGAACAATATCCTTGCACCCTGTATTATACAGACTTACTAATTCTATATATTCTTAATGGCACACAAAAAGGAGCAGACATTGCAGATTTTTGGTATGTAGCTTACATTCTCTGCTTTTTGCCTCCAGGCAGAAATGAAAGCTCTAGAGAAAGCTCTAGAGGAAGGAAACGTTAGCAGATGCGGATTCTGGATCTTATGGGACAGTTTACTTTGTGGCAGAAATACAGTGCCTGTTGCCATGCACATCAGCTGTCCCCTTAAGACTGTAAAATATCAATATAACGACAGTACGGTCTTTAATGATCGTTTCTGGAGTGTGTTGACTCTTAGTTAGGAGTAGTGGGGGATTAGCAATTTGTCAGAATGTTCTGTTGTGATCTTCCTCTTGAAAATGTGACTGTTAGCTGCTCTGTAGATGTGCTCTGCTGAGTGCTCCTATTTGTCACAATAGCAGAATTTTGGGTACTTTTATTTCATTGATTCTGAAGCAGACTTCTTCCTGCCCTGGACAGAGTATTTTGATACTAATAGTGATGTTGACATCCCTTAGCACGTACCCTTGACTACTTAAAGCTTGTACATCTAAAGTTTATATAAAACAATGGATCAAAGGCTCTAAGAGCAGAAAATGCATCAGTAGATGCAGTGCACGTGTTTCTATGCTGCCTAAGCTGTCAGTTCTGTAATAAAAACAGTTCTCTCTTGAGATTGTAGTTTGCTTTTTGTAGCTTTCTTGATGATATGTTTGTTTGTTTGTTTTTTAAGTAAATCTGTGGTAAAAGTAGTGGTAGTGCTTTTGAGTTGGTAGTTTTAGATGAGTATTATAAGTGTAAGCTTTCTGGAAGCAGAGAATAATAAATACGTAAATTGTAATTGAGATTGTAGTTCATTCTTCTCAGATTTGAAGAACCAAGAGATAAATTCTTGTTGATGGCTAACACCTCAAAAACAAGCTTCTAAAATTATTTAACTTTAAAGATCAGGCTAAATTTTTAGGTGGCATAAATAAGTACAGCTACAGGGAGTTCAAGGTGGAGCTGTAGGATCTAAATGGTAAAATGATTTCTGTATGTCATGATCACTATGGTAATTACTATAAAGTTACAGAATACTAAGGTGTCAGCAGTTGATCATAGATGCTTTTTTGCCTTTATCCACTTGAATGACTTATTTGCCTGTGGTTGAAAACTACTTGTTAGAAGTTGTAGTCTGAGTAGTGCTCTCAAATTTTTCGAAACTCATTACGTTTATTTATTTGAGTTTTAAAGGTCATTTTTCAAATTTGAGTGATAACTTCTTTAGAAATGCCTTTGATTTTTGGTTTGAAGAAAAAAACCTTCCAAACAAGCAGCCCCACAGAACCCTCTTGTATCCTTTTGTAGCGGTTCTGTTTTGTCATTTGTGCCTATTGACTCAAAGCAGCAAGTTAAAGTTTAAATTCTGGAAAGTGCTGTTCTTCCAAATGCATGACAAAATGGAAAGAAAATTATTAAGGTGTTTTAACGATGAGTTTAGGGGGGCACAAACTGGACCCGTAGACACCTACTCAATACTCCCTTGTCTTTGTACACTGACAGCTCCATCACAGGTAACAAAATGTGGAGGGGGCGAATACAGAACCTCTTGAGAAGCACCTGAAAGGATCTGCTTGGGAAGTGGCATGAGGCAGAGCTTCTTGTGCTTCTCTTGGTGATTAAGTGAAAGGTACTTTAAGCCTGTGCCTTTTGTGTAATGCAAAAAGCTGCCAAAGGGAGTCCAAAGACTCTTAAATGAATAGAACAGTAAGGAGGCTTCTTTTTCTTAACCCTTTGTGTTAGTGAATTGACTGGTGTAAGGACAAAGTATTCAAGAAGAAAAAGGCAATTTCAGTGTGCTCTTAGGGTGAAAAAGCAGCTCAGAGCTGGCTCACCTGAGCTGAAACTGTCAAAGCAATTTCAAATAAATGGTCTCACCTCAGAGCTGCAGACTTGTAGTCTTTTGGTGAGAATTTGCTAAGAACTGCTGAACTAATTAGGTAGCTGATTATGAAAACTGTATCTTAATATTATTGCCTAACTTTCAGTACAGAATCAAATTTTGGAAAGTTACTTTGATTTCATTGCTGCTTTAAAACAGTCTGGAGCAACATAATGCCTGAAACACATCCTGTTAAAATTATGCTCAGTTACATCTGGTAACTTGCAAGATTTGATGTGAAAGGAAGCTATATTGACTTTGAGGCAATATGGTTTTCACATCAGTTATTCTGCCTTCCTTCCAGATTACAGATAAGCGAGTATCCAGAAAACATGCCATATTGGAAGTAGAGGGTGGCCAGGTTCGCATCAAACCGGTAACTTAAATCTCATTTTGATTAAGTCTATAAAGCCAGACTGTAAATGCCATAGTCACTTTCAGATATTCATGTGCTTCATCTGAGAGTAGCATCCAGTTCTCCTTTGTCTCTTTCTGTAATCCTTATTGTCTTGTTACAGTGTCTCTTTTGTCTTCAGATAATATATATTAACTTTTTCATGCATAGCAGTGGGGGAGTTAAAGAAAAATAAAATATTATGGAGGCTTTATTACTTTATTTGTTGTCCTGTCTACCCTTTTGAGACAGGATCTGTTCTCTACAGTGATCTTCCCCCCCCCCAAAAATCTCTGAATTTACAGCCTTTACTTTTCAAATAGAGAATACATTCTGCTGTTTACAAATAAATTCAGCTGTTGTTAGAGGGATGTTTTAAACTTAACCAGATATTTGTCTTTTTTTTTTTTTTTGAAACGTTAGTACAGTAAAAGACTCTTCAAATCTTTATATAGTTGCAGTAGATTCAAATCTTACACGTAGGCTATACAGGCTATTCATTTATGATTGTAGCTGTTTTCTGTTTATACAGAAAGGTGACTATTCAGTCCACCAGTACTGGGAGTGGTGAGTGGAGATGCTCTGTCACCACAGGCCTGTCATTTTTGCTCTGATCTGTGGTTCTCAGATTTGATTCTCACTTTTTGCGAAGATTTTGTAGTGTAAGAGTTGTATGCAAATAGCAGTTTGTATCCTAGTGCTCTAATCCTGCTGTTAACCTCGTAAACCTCAGCTGTGATCCTCCTCTCTCAGGTCTGGAAACCTGTGAGGAGCTTAGTTATTTGTATTCCAGGTAAATTGGATGCCAGATTCCCAGGCTGGGATGATGGCAAGTTGTACAGATCTGTCTGAGCACTTGCTGTTACTCTGTTCAATTTCAAGGTCAAACAAGTTAGCATTGCATCTGCTTTCTGTAACAAAGCAGTTCTCTTGGCCAGAAAAAATGAAGGCAAGTTTCTGTTTTACCAAATGACTAATAAGATTTTTCCAATGTGCTTAATTTCATGTAATGGGAGTAATTGTAATTTTCTCAGTGACGCTCTGTGAAATGTACAGTAAATAGATAAATTTTTGTGAACTGAGTACCTAATATATATGAAAGTCTTCATAATATTTGTCTGAAAGCTTTCTTTGTGGAAAATGCCTTTCTTTGCGGAAAATCAGTAAATCCATTTTTTTCTTTTTTTTCTTTTTTTCTTTTTTTTAGGGTTTTTTGTTTTTTCTTTGGATGGTGACCTAAATGTGTTAATTCATGTACTTTAAGGTGTCCTCTGCGAGAGCTGTCAGAGTACGCTTGTTTACTGTAGTATCACTCAGCCTGGAAGGGATTTGGTAGTTCATTTGGTCCAGCCCCTTGCCCAGAGCAGGGTCACACTGAATTCACATCAGGGTCCTTAGGGCTTTTTCCAGCCCGGTCTTGAAAACTTCCAAGGATGGCAATTTCACAGCCTCTCTGGTCAAGTTGTCTCAGCGCTTACTTACCCTCACAGTGAAAATTTTGTTCTTTTTATCTTGTCAGAATTTCCTGTTTCTATTTGTAAGTACTGTCTCTCGTTCTCCTGCAATGCTCCTCAGCAAAGAACCTGCTTCTTTCTTCTCGATAACCTCCTTGTAGGTACTGGAAGACTGCTATAGGACCCTCTCAGCCTTCTTTTCTCCAGGCTGAACAAGCTCAGTCCTCTCATCTGCTTCTCACAGAGCATGTTCTCCAGCTCTCAGCTGTCTTAGTGGCCTTCTGCTAGGCTTGCTCAGGTTTATGAAATACAAGTCTAATTGGAGTCAGAGGAATTCTGAACTTTGTAATGCGTTGCTCACACCAACAGCTGCACAAAAGTAATGGTGAAGACACCAGTTTGCCTTTAGTTTAATTTTGCTAATTTTTTTGAGGATCAGTTTATATATAAACACATTTTTATAAATTAATTATAGGTATTTAAAAAATTAGCTTAGCTGTTTGAACTAGTTAGTGACATCTAGTATAGCTGTCTGCTTTTGTCTGTAACATTTCAAGGTTGCGGCGTTGCTATGGAGTTATTAATATGGCATAACTGCTTTGCTGCGTATGACAGAAAGGGGGAGGGAGTGTTAACTAAACATATGGTGTATATACATACATTACTTATATAAAAATTATTCCAGCTGTTCTTTCCGTCTTGCAGATTCATGTGAATCCATGCTTTTATCAATCCTCTGAGAATGGCCATCTTCTACCACTGGAGGCACATGAATGGCACGTGTTGAAATTTGGTGATAGCTTTTCCCTGTTGGTGGACAAATACATTTTCAAGGTCCTTTCTGCTCATCCTGTGGAGAGCACAGTAAGGTATCAACACTTGTGAGAAATAATACTATTTTCACTGTTGACTTGTTCCACCTTTTTCTGAGGTGTAGTGAGTCTTGAATGGAAATAAATCAATGTGCCTGCTTGCAATTAAGAAGTATCATGCTCAGTTAAGCATGAATAGTGATGCCCAGAAAGCATGCAGTGTAGGATATGCGTATGACAAGTGGTCTGAGTTTTGGAGATGGGACCAGGATTTGTTTATGGTGTTCCCCTATTTGCCTATGGATTTAAATGCTACTGTGTTAGTTTAGCACCCTGTCCTTGGAAAACCTGGTAACATTACATGAAAACGTTCAATAGTGAAAACAATAGTGCTTGATATTATTTTACATTAGATTACTTTTGCTGATAGTCACTATATTTCTACGCATTTAGTATTATGCTTTATTTGTGTAATCAAGATAGTCCTCATTTTCTGTTATGTCAGTTTCAAATGATATTAATTGCTTTCCTGGATGAAGGAAGAAGTCTTAAGTACCCTTGCCAGAGCCAAGTGACTCACACGGTCATCCACATATCCCACGTTATATGATTCATTGTTCGATTCTGCAATAACTGAAAGTGGTATATTCCTTGACATTTCACCTTTGTGTTTATCTTTCATGAATAATTTCTAACATTTGTAGAGAAAAGAGAAATAGTGCCAGAAGTAGAAGCCTTTTTCTTATTTCAAAATTTGTCAGATGTGTTTGGTTTATATACTCCGATGTCCACATTTTGATTTTTTTTTTTTTTTCAAAACCAAAACAGATAATGTCTTTCAATAAAGGAGACGTTTAATTTTAGGGTAAAAGAGTTTGCTGTATGCTAATCTATGACAAATGTCATAAATGCAGTGTGAAAATTATGTCAAAGATGAACACAAGTGATTAGGTCTAGTGAATCAAGTATCTTTTTCGAATTAGAAGGTCAAAATGAGAAGTATGTCCCTATAATTTGCACACAAATTTCTATGCTATTTCTTATATATGTGTCTGTGTATAAAAAATTATATTTAGGAAGGCACTAGTATTATAAAAAACAGAAAAACTGGTTTCCAGTGAAGCAAATTCTAAGCTGTAATTTCAGCTTTCTCAAAGTTTATCATGGCAATGACTATTATAGCTTATGTACTTAAAAACAAACAAAGAAAAAACCATAAAGCACACTACATTGGGGGTTAGCAATGATTGGAAATTTTTTTGGTTCAAAGTCCTTTCAATCACAGATAGAAAGGGAGATATATTTATTTCTTCAAGTTTATTTAATAGTATGCTGCATTCAGTTTACAAGTGTATTAATGGCAAAATTTCAGAAGTACTTTGTGCTTGAGTAAAAAATACATGTTTATATTCATGATGTGTTTGAGTAGATAAAAACTCTTTTGCTTTGTCAGAAAAAGTCAGGAGGCTGATGCAGAAGAAGCACCAAGCATTCACCCTATTAAAATGTCTTGTAGTCCATCTTTAATAGAACCGGCATGTTCCAGTTCTGAGATACAGGGAACCACAAAAATAAGAAAAAACGAGACTACTTCTAGACATTTGGTGAGTGCTTAATCGTTTCATTAAATATTAATATTTAATGAGCATGGGTTGAAAGTTAAGTAAAGGTGTTGTATATTCTAAACCTTTCTTTTTTTCCTGAGAGGCAAGCTCTGAAAAAAGCAAAGTTGTTTGCTCAAAATATCGTATTTGTATTGATTTGGATTGTGTTTTATACAAGTCTATACATATATTTCTATTGTGTACTTATGTTTATTATTATTATGGTAACTTGTTCTCGGGAATATGTGAAAATTGCTGTTGTTACATGAATATGTAGATATTCAAAACCCGTCTGGATGTGATCCTGGGCAATATGCTCTAGGTGACCCTGCTGGAGCAGGGAGGTTGGACTAGATGATCTCCAGAGGCCCCTTCCAACCTAAACGATTCTGTGATTCTGTGAATATTTTGAGCTTACAGTACTGTAGATGAGTTCAGCACTGCAAAACAACATCCAGTTCTGGTCTCTGGTGTGTATCAGGAGCTGCCCCATAAGTATCTGTGAGGGCCTGGAGGAATGAGTGACTCTTCTTTCAGCCAGCCTAAAAGCCTCTGACATTTCTACTTGGAGACATTGCAGCTAACCTATAGATGCCTTGTGCTGGCTTTCAGTAATATCTGTTTGTAGTGTACTAGCAACCTATTTCTTTTAAATCGTACAGCTGTGATAGAGTTGTGTTGTCAAGACCCATAAGAATAAATAACAGATAAATAGATCAGTTTAATAAAACAGATAGATAACCCTCCTGTTTTGCCCTGGGAGCCAGCAGAACAGAGTTTTCAAAGTAAGTGGTTTTTGTTCTCTTACTCTTGCTGAGTAAAATAGCCATTTTTCAGGCGGTCTAGATAACTAGTATTTGTAGCCAGTGGGATTTTTCTTTAATCTTCTGTTGTGTTTCCAGCAATATAGGGCTAGAAGGGACACGCTGGACAGCATGATTGCACTGTAGATATTGACTAAATGCAGTAAGCAAAATCTGAGCCTTTACCGTAGGTGAGATCTTTACCACTTAATAAATAGAGATTCAAACGTACAGTATTGCTCCCTGTAAATAAGCATGTACTAGACATGAGTTTGGTTTATTCAGTTTATTTTTCCAGACAAGATTTAGAGTATGGTTTCTTAACAGAGGAATTGAAAGAATGCTGGCAAGACTTCTCTGCTTTTTGACAAATAGGCATTTGTTCATGTTAAACTCGCTCTTTTTGCTATCTCTATATATGCAAACTGTACAGCAAGATACTGGCAAAGCTGTTCTGTGAAAGTTTTAGATTGTCATCTCTTACGTATTTATTCCAAAGGGCTAAGGAGTTCTCTGTTGAATGAAGGCTTCTATAAATGTTATTTTTTCTGAACGAGTAGAAACAGTGACAATTTTCAGGTAACTGGCACCCCCTTGAAAGTAATCCAGGCTGTGTCTGAAGGACGTAACTGAGCAAAGTTGTGTTCTAGGTTTTTTCCCCCTCTTCTATGACTGGAAAAAGGTACTAAGCAGTAAATACAGTTTCAGGTGCCTCCTTCTGATGATCGTGAAAACGAACAGTCAAAGTCTATTCAAAGAAAGAGAGTGCTTCCATCTTGGATGCTGGAAGGAGACTTTATGGTTCAGAGGCTTTCTGACCGTGAAATGAAAAAAGGTAGGTTTGCAGTGCAGTGCAACACTGTTGCATACCAATATACATTTCTCTGGTTTGATCTCCTTTTTCTTAAATTATAATTGTGATGGTAGAAAGTATTCATTTATTACTTCTCTCTCCACATTTTAGGCCTGGCAGGTGACACAGGCTGACTTCTGTTGTCTCCTTTGTCATCAGTCATATGGGCATTATACAGTTCTTTCTGATCAGATGGTTCTTCTTTCTGTTGTTTTTTTTTTTTTTTATGCCAGCTCTTACTCTTTTTGGACTGCTGACCATCTGATGTTCTTGAGCCCTTTCCCATAAACTCTCCTATTTTGCTTGGGATGTAAATTCTAGGCAGTTTCTGTATGCTTAATTCCAAGCATCCTCCACTTTTAAGTCCCTGATGTACTGCCCCTTTTAAATTAGGTTCTTCCAATTCCACAGGTGTTAGAGGTGTTGTGCAGAGGGTTTGTCTGTGTGTGTGTTTTTTTTAAACTGTAGCTGAATCATATTGGAACACTGTTCAAAAGTTTTTTTTCTAGGAGCAATTTGTTGCAGTATACTTGTCTCTTACCAAAATGAGACTAAAAAGACTAAAATAGTATTGCATTCCTTCCCATCTTGCCTACAAAAGGAAGTTGCTGAATGTATGATAAACGTCTACAGCTCTTTATCAACAGCAGCAGCAGTGGAATATTGTGCTTAGTCTGTATCAGGAAGAGACAAGGATGCCATGTTGGCACAACTCCAGGAATATTTTCTAGCATGTCCAGCTTTGGTCCTGGGAGCTTATAACAGAATGTAAAACTACTGTTAGACATTCTTTGACAATCTTATCACAATATATTTTGGCTCTAATGAGTATTATTGATGGAATTGGAGAGCTAAAGAAGTGGGAAAAAGAGAGGAGAGGAGGAGGAGTGGAAGGTAGAAGGGGAGGGTTGGAAGGGAGGAGAGAGAGAAAGAAAGGGAGGGAGAGGGAGTGAGTGAGTTATTTTTTATCTTTGCATCTCCTTAAGACAGTGCTCTCCACACTGCTTGTCTCTCTGGTCATAGCTGCCGTCTTAAGGTGTTTGTAGACCTGAGCTTCTCTGTTCTCTTGCTAAGCTGTTGGTACACAGGGAGATCTGTTTCTGATCCTACCCCATTTTTTTAGGCAGGTCAAGTGGAATTAATTCACTGTGTAACATACTCAGCGATTGCTCTTATTTCTAGTAGGACTGACTAAGAATGTGAAAAGAAGGTTGTTTTGCTCCTGTTAACCTTTATCTCCTTACTTATTTATCTCTTATGCTATTGTAAAATAAATGTGGTACATATCTCTTCTAACCCTCCCCCTTTCTTCTCTCCCCTTTCTCTTTCTTTCAAGCCTGACCTTGAGGTTAGAGATATGTAAGAACACCGTTGGACCTGTTTAACAATTATTTATATGAGATAATTCCAACTTACAAGAGGCTATTTTTAATAAAGTAACCAATCTCTTCAGCAAATGTTAAATATCTTAGAGTTGTGAAATGGTTTGCATTTTTTTTAGAGTGGTATTGCAAGGAAAGGTAAAAAAGTAGAACTAAAAGGCTTTTTATTTTTTTTCCTATTCCTGTTTGTCTTTCTCCTGGAAAGGGAGTGCTGATTTGTTGTTTTGAGGCCTGACATTAAAATGTGGAAAAATTCCTTGCTTCCCTCAAACGTCTTTGTGATGCCTTTATTTTTCAAAGGGAAGAATTGTTGAAGTTGTATAAAATAGCAGCAAGTATCTTCCTTATGAATGCATTTTGTAGCAGATGGAGCTATAATAAAAATAGCGTCTATATATCGAGAAGATACTTCAGTACAGAGAGCATGATTCCTGAAGCGGAATCGTTTTCTCCATCTTTCCATCAGTTATTGGCTGATTACATGGTCAAATAGGATGTGGTTGAGTAGGCGAGTAGATATACCCTGATTCTGTTATGTCATGCTTTACATTTGTGTGTATAAATGGGTAGACCTAAGTGATAGTTACATGTAAGGTTTGTATCAAAAAAACAAACAAACAAACAAAAACCTTGGCTATTTCATTTACTTGATTAGCTGCTATTGTGTAATTGATAATTTATCAGTCATAGGGTCAGTCTATATCAAATAGACTATATGACAGTCTATGACAAATATCCTTTGTCATATACCTATTTTTTTTCCTCAAATTTCCTCTCAAACATCTGTTTCAGTCTAAAACATACAGTTGTAACTCCCATGAACAGATTCTGATTGAGAGGAAAGGAAATGATAAATGCGTTACCGAAACAGAACGTGAACAACTACTGCCATCTCTCATGCTTTTTGCCCAGTGTTCTGCTTAGGATATTTTTTCACCTGTTCCTGTATCTTAGAAAGCTTTAGATTTCTAATGTGATCAGGATTTCACTGTAAAAATTGCATTTCAAAAGTACCCTTTCATTTTTCTCCTAAAGGTGGTGGAATGAAAAGAGACCAAGGAAAGGGAGGAAGTAATATAGAATCATTAAAAATAGAAATAAGTGTGCAGAAGAGAAAAAGATTAACTTCTGAAGAAATGACAGAGGATTGTAAAGATGAAGAGCAGTATCAAGGGAAAAAGGGCTGTCATTCCATCACTGTCCGTTCCTCTCAGGTAATTGGTTTTGCTCATGGCAAAACTGTGTTATCTCAAGAAATATGAATGTAGTTGGCAATGCCGTAGTTTAAGGTTGGGTCTGGAATTAACCATGTGTTCCGTATGTAATCTGTTATGTTCAAGTGATTGTTTTGAAATGCCAGCTCCCTTAAACAGCTCTGCAGGAAGGATCCTGGAACACTTCTGAGAATTGTTGGTGGTTTTCTGTACTTCCTTCATGGGACCTGGAATTTAAATCCTGAATGTTCTACAGGATGTTGCTCTTGTTTACAGTGAGCTATTAGGAATGGCTTGATGTGTGGTTTCTTTTCCCGAGAGCCTTTTCCAGGGATAGATGATGGTATGAAACTGATGTAATGCAACTCTGGATTTTGCCCAACCTAGTAGCATTCTAGCTGGTTAGGTTTTATGATCGGAAAATTACAGTATATAGGTTAGCAACTGCTATGTTTTGAAGAAAGATAGCAGGGAGTGTGGCCATGCCTGTGTTTAAAAATCTGAGCCAAAAAAAGGAAAGAAAAAAAAAGTTATCTGAAATCAAGAGTGGTCCAGGGTAGTGAGTCAATAGACACTTCCGTCCAGCTGATCAATGTGTCTGTGTGTCTTCAAAGTAAGCCTGCATTATAGGCAGTTATATGCTTACTGGTAACGCTCTGCTAATAATGAAAAGACAAGGACCATTATCAGTGACAAACAAAAGCATGTTCTGGTGAGAACAAACTGAGACTTGCATTGAATTATGTGGGTGGGTTGGTTGGTTTGTTTTTTTAAATGAATAACCTGTAGGGGAGCTTCTAATCTCCAACATTAAAATTTTCATTCATATTATGGATCTGATGAAATACTTTAGCATGCTATTTAATCAGTTTTGACAGTGCAAACTATCATCACTTTTTAAAAATCTTATTTAAATCTTTAATTGAAATGATCTCTTAATAGAGAGCCTACCCTCCAGGGTAGCTTGATGTAACATAGTAGTAGTGCCTTTTAATTTTTAAAGGTGTTCTGAGCAGTGAGCTCTGTTGTTGAAAAGATACATTAACTCTAGCTGCAGCATTATTTTCTCTTAGTCAGATTATAAGGTGAGAGACTATGTAAATATTTTATTTTACAATTTCAAAGTATAAAACCTTACTTATTTTCCTCCTATTAAATAATTTCATAAACCATTTTTATCTCAAACAATTTAAGAAAGTATCTTCAGAACTTCTCAGGAAAAATCATCTGTTAGTGTAAGCAAAGTTAATATTCATAGAAAGCTGTAAAAGAATGAAGTTTTGATGTCAAACTCAAAATCACTTTACTGCTGTTATATTTGAGATGATTAAAAAAATCTATTGTAGGTAAAAAGAATCTTAATTCATCTAAGCAACAGCCAGCCGCAAGGTGGCAGTGGAGTCATATACACTTTATAAGCAGTGGGAATAGTTGGAGCTGTTTGTGGTTTTGCCCAAGTACAATCCCTTTTAAAAATTAGTCCTGATAATAAGATTGAAAATGTTTACTCTCATTATATAATATAGGCAATGGGATAGATTAAAAGTATGAAGTAGAGTCACAAGAAGGAGAGGCAAATTAAGAAAAAAAAATGTAGGCATTCTTCTTGCAACTGTAGTTGTTTGCCCAGTCTTTTTTGGGAGTCTCAGATAATGGAGTCTTCTCTGTCTCTGAGTTGACTTACTAAGTATGCTGTTGTCAGGGTCATTTTATGTTAATGCTGAATTTGCCTGTTCTTAATCATCTTGCTGCTCAAATATAATTGTCTCTGGTTTTGGTTAATGTTTTGTTAGTCCCATGTTTAAAGCAGCCAAATCAAACAGGAAACCACCCACTGTTTTTGTTTTTTGTTTTTTTTTTTCCAAATGCTTCCGAATACATCAGGGTAAACTGAGGATCAACTTGCTGGAGGAGATCCTTCACATAATAAACTGTAGCGAGTATGGACCTTGAATTGTTCTGTAGTGTATCAAAGTAGTTCAGCCTTCAATATTTGTATGCTTCCAGACAATGTCCTGGTTATCTGTTTAATGCTTTTGCTTTGGTTATGTTATCTCATATCCTTTTTCTAAGGCATATATGTATCTTTCATTTTAAGTGTGCATATATTCCAAAACTTTAAAATGCAGGATTTGTCAAAAGTGAAATCTTTGCTTGACAGTATATCCTGACAAACAGTTTTATCTATTAGTTTAGACAGAGTTCTGAGCGAAAGCATTTAAGATGCATGAGAGGTGGGGTTAAGCTCAAGGTATATAAATACTGATTCTATTGTCTCCCATATATCTTGGTACTTAAGGGATTGAAATTTATTCTTTTACAGGAATATATGTTCTTCTAGAGTCTACCATATCTTCACATGTAAAACCTACACTCATTTTTAAGGAGCAGTGCTCTCAAAGAAATCCTTAGATTATTCACCAACTGTCGTGGTGGGGTGGGAGAAGAGCTTATGTATGTTGTGAGGGAACAGAGGCAGAAAACAGGAGCCTCAGGGATAAATTTTCCTTTGTTCTACGTGTATGTTTTAACAAACCTTTCATTCAGCAACTGTATTTAGCAGCTAATTTGTGAAAGGTAGAGAAGATTTTGAAAACTGGATGATGAGAAGTGGCAGAGTTTGACCTTAATGCTTTTAGTTCTGAAGTATGTAAATTTTCAGGTCCTTCAAAATGTAACCTTGTTCCACAGAATACATCTGGATTTCCTCTTGAGAGTACCATGAGAAACTTGGAAGGAAATGGCAAGACTGAAACAAAAAAACCTGGAAGTTCTATGGAAAAAACTGATAGGCAGCTGCATAATAAAAGATCTAAAGCAGCAGGTCAGATCTGCAGTAAAATGAGTAGAATTGAGGAAACAGAAAAGAAAGAACAGATTACTGGTTCTAGCAGCCAGCAAGCTCACTGGGGCAGGACTTTTCCGTATTATGGTGCCGAGGAAGGAACTCATGAGCCTCGTGCAAATTTGGATTACAAGACTGAAATTTCTGATTCAACTGGAAGCATAGATACTTCAGAAAGCTCCAAACAGATCAAGCATAAGAGGGCACCTTGCATGTATGGAACAGGCTGTTACAGGTAAAGCAAAATTAAAACTAGCTTAATCTAGCATATTATTAAGAAATGATTTATTAGCACATGGAAGAGGAAATGGTAAAGTCATTACAATTTTTTTATTAAAATAAAATCTTTTGATAAGCAGAAGACTGCTAAGAAACAAAGGACATAACAAGATTTTTTGAAGTATAAAAGGAGGAACCAGGAGATCTTGCTTGTTACTAATATAACCTAAACAAGCGATGAAGTACTTCAGCAAATCAAAAGATGAAATTTTGTAGGAAATAAGAAATGGAGGTCCATTAAAAAGCAAAGAAATCAACAAACCTGCTTGTACCAGCCAAGTAGTGATACCAGTAAGGAGAAAGATGTAAATAGTTGCAATGCCCAGTGTAGATGCTGTGGGCTTGTTTTATTAACAAATGAAACATTCTTAAAGAATAAGATAATTTGTATTTATTGAAGTAATTGCATGCTTTGTGAACTGAATATTTAAAATTTGTTATGTCATCCCTAAATTATCTATTATTATTATTATTATAACTTGACCAGTCCGGTTTTCTGGTTTAGCGTCCACTCCCTCCCCCAAAATAGAACATGGCAATCTCCATGTTAGCCCTTATCTGGTCTGCTTCCTTGGTAATACTGCGAGCAAAGAGCACTTTTTCTTCCATGTCCTAAGCCCCTCAATTCACCATGAGGTGAATTTAGTTCATTTAGTTATTGAATTATGCCATGATTTTTACTTAACTTAGAATTGATCACTCATGATGAAATTTTTAAAAACTTTTCAGGGAAGGAATCTTGGTTGTAAAGAACATATTTTTTGTTATCAGTGTTCTGCATGAGCACATCTGTTCTTAGATCTTTATTCTAAAACAGATTTTTGGCAGCAATAGTTTCAGCAAGCATTGTTTTTCAAAAAAAGAATGCTATAAAATAATACATAGTAGAACATCTTATTCTGTGGAGGAGCTTGTAAATATGAAGTATTGAAAATATCAGCTCTGAGCTTCAGGAAGTTTTCTGCAGCAAGATAAATAACTTTGTACTCATAGCTAATGTTTAAAATTTACTTTCAATATATAACCACTAGCAGTCTTGCTGCATCTGTGGGATGACTACATTAGAGTAAATCAAATCGCTTCAGTTGCTCGTGTATTTAGCAAAACATACTTAACTATGACATGAATAGATGTTTCTAAGGAGCTAGTTTGCAGTGTATTTAATGTTTTTTGGTGTAGCATCATCTCCAGCAGAAAACAGTTTTAGGAGCTCCAAGGAAAAGGAGCTGCTTTGAGTGCTCTCCTGAGTTAGGGAATTGGTTTCTCTCTCATTCATTGCATTTGCCTTTGAAAGGAATCATCTAACAAAACACACTATAGGGATCTGCATCTTAAATGGGTACTGCTCTGGTAACCGTAGTGTTTCCTTGAAATTCTTCTTAGGTGAGGAAAATCTCTGTACAAGCCTCAGACTTAGTGAATACTCTCCAGTCAAGAATATTTCTTATGCATAAAATTTCACTTATGCATTAACTAACTGCTCTTAAGAGTTCTATTCTTTATTTTGTAAACTCCTATTAATAGATATATTTTTTCTGGGTACTATGGTACATGACCAAGATGTCTATAAAAATTGCACAGACTGAAGATTGAATGCCAGGTCTATTAATTTTATTAGATTTCTCTGACAAATATCTTAAACATTTAGGAACTAATTTTGTAACTCATAGGTCGAATTTCTCACTTCTGAATCCAGAAGCACTGCTTTGGAAAGGAGTGAGCTTGATGTCAGAATCTTCTTCCAGGGAATCTTTTTGTCCTCATATTTCAGTATCAGATTTTGCTTCTGGGCCAGCCTGAAGACTTGCAAAGTTGAAACAAACTTCTGTTATCATCAAGAGACAAAATGCTCTGTGTACATTAAATCTGGCCATGTTTATTGACAAGGGAACTTGTCAATACTGTTTGAATACTGTCTATTCCACTTTTTTTGTCTTGTTACTTGGTTTTCCCAAGTTGGAAGAATAGAGAATAAAAATAAAAAGACAAAACCCAATCCTCTTTTTCTAAAATTACATAAAAGGGATGTGATGTACATGAACTGTGATCTGTCAAGCTGTAAACACGTTTTTTGTCCACAATTTTATTCTCTTGTGTTAGTCTGATTTAGAATTTTAGAATTTCAAAGTAGTAAACACACACAATTACAGCATAACTCTAGACTTCTTCAAATACATCAGTAGCAAAAGGAAGACTAGGGAAAATGTGCGCCCACTGCTGCTGAACGGGGCGGGTGCCCTGGTAACGAAGGATACAGAGAAGGCAGAGTTGCTGAATGCCACCTTTGCTTCCGTCTTCACTGCTAAGGCCAGCCCTCAGGAATTCCAGACCCTGGGGACCAGAGAGGAAGTCTGGAGAAAGGAAGACTCTGCCTTGGTGGAGGAGGATCAGGGTAGAGATCTCTTGTGCAAACTTGACATCCACAAATCCGTGGGCCCTGATGGGACGCAATTGCAAGTACTGAGGGAGCTGATGGGATGTTATTGCTAGGCCACTCTCCGTCATCTTGGAAAGGTCCTGGAGATCAGGAGAGGTGCCTGAGGACTGGAAGAAAGCCAATGTCACGGCAGTCTTCAAAAGGGGCAAGAAGGAGGAGCCAGGGAACTCCAGGCCTGTCAGCCTCACCTCCATCCCTGGAAAGGTGATGGAGCAGCTCCTCCTGGAGGTCATCTCTAAGCATGTGGAGGACAAGAAGGGGATCAGGAGTAGTCAGCATGGATTCACCCAAGGGGAAATCGTGCTTGACC